ATTGTAGGTGCTCGAAAGACTGTCTTGGAAGAGTTGATTCCTTCACTGCAAGCGAAGTATACAATTTCAATTGAGATCATGTCTGGACCAGGTGATGAAGTGACGTTTTTGAAAAAGACGCATCAACTTCTCGATGATGGCAGGATGGTGATTCACATCCATCCCAAGCATTTGGACCAGTTGTGCAAGCTGCTCCAACTGTCAAAGCGATTGCAGAACAAACGTTCTCCTGGTCACAGTGAAATTGAGACTCCAGACAACACAGAGGAATTGAAACCTCATGATGCTTCAACATACCGATCCTGCGTTGGGATTCTGTTGTATCTTTCTCCAGATCTACCACAGTGCCAATATGTGATCCGATACCTCTCAACCTGTGCATCGAAGCCCACACAGAAAGCGATGGTTGTTTTGAAACATTTGGTTGGCTACATGGCAGGTCATGCTGACCAATATGTCTCTCTGAAGTGGAAAGGCATGCATTCAGGTCTTCTACGTGACTATGAGTGTGAAGAGCCTGTGCTTGAGATTTTCAGCGATGCAGACTGGGCTGCTGATCGAAACACCAGAAGATCAGTCTCTGGTGGTGCAATCTTCTATGGAGGATGTCTTGTTTACTCTTCCTCGAGGACTCAAAAGATCGTGTCACTCTCGAGCGCCGAGTCTGAAACATATGCTGCCGCTTCAGCTGTCATGGATGCCATCCTCATCAGAACCATTCTTTGTTGGGTACTCCAAGTACGCATTCTCATGTACTTGTACTTGGATTCTTCAGCTGCACGGGGAGTTCTCTCACGAAAAGGGGTTGGAAGGTTGAGACATTTGAGTTGTAGGGTTCTCTGGCTCCAGAATCTGGTAGGTGAAAAGGTGCTTCAAGTCAAGGCAGTTTTGGGAACAATCAATCCAGCTGATGTGTCGACCAAGCGACTGTCAATAGCAAGGCTGGAATCATTGATGTATCTGTTTGGACTTTGGAACACAACTCAGCATCAACTCGTAGGAGCAGAAGATCCCGGCAGAATTTTCAGGCACATTCAACAAAGCACTTCATCCAATTCAGGTCGAGATTCACAACTTCAAGTTTTGATTAGCGCCTTGAGCCTACTGACGCTCCAGTTACAGGGGTGTGAAGCCATGACCAACGACTTGATGGAGATACCGTATGTCTTCACTGCAACATGGGTTGGTTTGCTTGGCATGTACCTCTTCTGGATGTCGCAGTGCTCCAAGAGCAACAGGGGCACTAGGGACGACCCAAGTTTTGGACGCAATTTTTCAGTGATGGATGACGACGTTGACACAGCAAGCGTCGCATCATGCATGACGGAGGGCACAGATGAGCCTCCAGCATTTTCTCCTGAAGGTTTGATTGAATGGTTGTTTGAAAGATGCAATAGGCGGTTCGAGGATGCATTGATCTCTGGGAATGAGGCAAGGGCACAAGCCTATGGACAACGTCGAGCCCTTTTGGCTGACTTCATGAACTTTGTGGGGGCCGCAAATGATTCAGAAAGAGAGCAGGCGACTGAGATGCTGAACACCATAGATGATCTCAGTAGCCATGAGAGCAGTCCAAGCAAGGACATGGAAGAAACTGATGAGACAAGGACCCAAAGGTCAAGAGCTGGCCGTGCAGCAATGGTTGCATTGCAAAGTGTCATGTCGATGCAACTACAAGGTTGCACATTCTCCTCGACATCGACATCAAGCGATGGCTCTTGGTTCAGTTTTGCATTCCTGATGACATGGACGATGTTGCTTGCTAGATACTCATGGTACATGCTCTACAACATGAATCAGCGATACACTGTTCAGGCACCACACACGCCTGACATGTTGAACCTCAATGCAGAACCCCAGGTGACAAATGAAAGCACAAGTGTTGAAGGACTTGTGACATGGACGTTGGTCCGAACAAGGAGGAGGCTTCGAAAGATGCAGGCAGCAGGAAACATTGGTGGCTGCATGCGCTACAGCCAAATCCAAAGATGGCTTGAGACATGCCTGTGCCATCTTCCCACATCGGGATCCTACGACCGCAACAGAATTGTGCAATCCCTGGCTGAGGAGAACACGCTCTCAGATGATGATGAGTCTCCTACAGCTGGCATGGGAGATGATGAGAAACAGTTGATGATCAACAGCCACGGGGACATCTGTAAATGCCTGGTGAAGCTTCTGGAACTTGGAAAGGTGGAGGTCATGACAGACTTGTTGAAAGTCTTTGCAGAGGCCTTCAGAACACCAGAGCCGCCAGCAGATGACTCAGATGATCCCATGAGTGAGACGCAGTCACAGCGTCTACACCGATACAGAAACAGTGAACAATGTGAAGTATCAGACCCGGATGACTGGGCCAACATTCACTACGGCCCAGGACATGAAAATCGACCAGAAGATGACAGAGATTTGCAAGAGTTTTAGAAGAAAACTCAAATTCACAAGGCACCAAAAGAAAGAGGTCAATAGGGTGAGATACAAATCTCTCACCACTGGCTTCAGTGCCGCTGGTTTTTCAAAGAAATCCCAATAGAAGCAACTAGATGGACTCACACCAGTCCTAAGGGATTTAGAAGTAGTAACTCATAAGCAAAGCTTTGAGTTAAGGCGGGGTGCAAATATTGTACGGCATTTGCATCCTGTCAGTTTTTCATGCATTGATGTCAGTTTACAGCAGTGACATGTCAATTGCCACATGTCCAAACCATCTCATATGTTTGAGGCGCTTTCGGTTCCAAAAAGATTTGCAGAATAGCACCGCGTACCAAGACTGGCCATGCAACAGGGCATGTTCCACTCGGATCCTTTAATGTCAATCATTTCCAATAAAACGACGGGGGGTAATAATAAAATAGTAATAATAAAATCACGTTGCGTGTGAACCCCCGACTAGCAAAAAAAGGTCCAGTTGGACGGTATGGTCGGATTCCCACCCCTACGCAGCATTGTATACAACGTATGTTGCCATTTTGGTTCCGAAATGCTGCTTATGAACATCGAGTTGGAAATGCCCAGCAAATAATTACATCGCCATTGGCCAGCCGCAAACACTGTCCGAAATTAAGCAGCATCAACACATTGGCTCCACGGACGGTTTCGAACTGCTTGCTTCCATTCCATTAATGAGAAGGGCCAGGTATTTCGGAATCGATTTGCGGCAGCGTGCCACACAAATGAAGCCAATATAGAATGCAAAATGTCGCCTAAAATATTTGAAAATTGTTCAATCCCTATATCGGTTGTTTTCATCACTACAACGATCTCTTCCCTAGGGTTGCGCGGTATAGCATCGAGATGGTTCAACTCCATGAAACCATCCAAATCAACTTGGCTTTATCGCGTCTCCTGTGCCGCATGTGTTTCCTCAGTCGTAATTGTTTTGGCACGGTAATCCCTTCCACAGCGGCATTTTCCCAACGACATTTGGATTTTTAAGGAAGGGTTTTTACATTTTAGTTTGGGTTTGGCGCCGGCGATTTGAACCACAGCCTGTTTGATAACATTTTTGCATTTGACGTAGGGAGGTTAGCTGCCCGTGCCGCGGTTTGGCACTTCAAAAGTTGATGAGACGGGGAAAACCTTGAGCGTCGCACCTTCACGTCCAAGGGCGTGCGGAGTGCGTCCGTCTAAATTTGGGTAAGCAAATTTAAGTTTCGTAATCCTGACCGGGTCGTAGACACTGCAATCGCCCACACTTGTTCCCATTGCAAGTTCGTATTCCGCTGGCACTGGGACCCGATGCCGTTTTGGCGGGGAAGATATGCGCTTCATCATCACTTTCTCCTCCTGCCACATTCGCGTGTGGACAAGGACTCCGCCGGCACATATAATTCTTCACGTTGAGTTGGTGTTGCGGAAAGCCGGGTTTGGTCAAAATTTTGCGATTACGGCTGTCCTTGTTGCTGATTCATGAAGTTGCTTCTCTCATGGAATGGGAACCCTGAAAACAATACA